TTCTTATACATGTAATACATTTATTACCAACCTGAGAGTTTATCCGCTGGTCATTCGACATGACGAATGACTTCTGAAGTCTTAAGTCAGCTCAAGATGCTGTAGATTCCCGTCAGTAACACTTTCGGTCCGCTAGTAGAACATAGTTGTATTAATCTGCGGTTGATTACCGGAACCGTATGTAAGTCCCAAAAAACTGAATTTTGGAACTGAAATTGAATGGTGAGAAGGGAATCTGAAATTATTCGAGAGCTAAATTTTTAAAGGATAAAATACGGTTTCAAAGCAAATGAATTCATTTTAAAAATATAAAATTAAATTTCAATTTAGGCTAATTCATATTCAGTTTTTAAAAGCATTTATTCAAGTTACAATTCAGATTCAATCCGAGCAATTCAAATTCAAATTTAACTTATTCAAATTCAGTTTCTGATGGCACAGATTTCTGCCCATAGTTTTACAGCCTTAAAACATCTATAATAATTGTAAAAAAATAAAGTTAGCTACTTCGCGGATTTCACCTATCGCGGGTTATTTTTGGAACGTAACTACTGCGATAAACGAAGGACCACTGTATTGTGTCTTGCTTCTACATTCCTTTTCTTTCCATATTTCTCTTCTCTAATCTCACTATAGATCACAATGTCGTCTGCAAACATTGGGGACTACTCCTAGACCTTATCTGTCAATCTCACAGTTGGCAATCAAAAAGGGGCATGCAGGGGCATGCAGCCTCCATCTCCCTCCATCATCACTGTTACAAAAGCTTTTTAGTCTAAAAAGTAAACTTTTTCGCTTAAAATGACAACAGCACACCATTATGAATGATTCTATAGTCCAGTTCTGTCTCAAACATCCTATTCATTATCCTAGTCCACATTTTCGTGATCATATTTTTGGGACTGATTATTACCGAGTTATGACATATCCTAATTTTACGATATTCATAAAAATGATAACTGTCATAAAATTTATAACTTCCTAAGTCATAAATCTTTTGACATGGGGCCATAAATCAGTGGTTTGACAGACAGGGCATATTATCCCTCCGTCATGGAATTAAATAAGCTTGATTTCCCTAAGGGGAATTAATAAGGCATATGACAGCAACTGAGAACCAATCAGACAAGTTTATCAAAAGGAAAACTGGATAACAAAATAAAACAGGAAATGACTAATCAGTAATAAGAACAGCACATGGACAGACAGAGTCACAGAGACTTTAGGAAAGTGCAAAAGCTGAGAAATAAGGAATCACGAAAAATAGAAAAAAATAAATAGAAATTTTATAGACCAAAACACCAACTAAACCTCAAAACCATAACACCCACACCCTTTGTGACTAGTCATTAAAGGCTCTCCTTTTCCGAGAATGATGTGTTACTGGGAAAAGCATTAAGTATTAAGAAGTCTTTTGATTTAGACAAACCAAAAGTCATTAACTTGTGTTTTTAGAAAGTGCTTAACAGATCAATAACTGTGGAATGTAAAAACTCAAATTTATCTGAAAACATAAGATATTGTCATACAAGCTTTTCACATTATATTCCTAATAAAGCTGAAGTTAAAAGTTGGAATGAGCTAATCAAACTAAGTAAACAAAGGAACACATTCCTTTCCCACTACTAAATAAACTTAAGCATGTAATTGGCTCTCACTATAAAAATGAAATAACGAGTAGGAACAAGTGAAGACAGTGAGAGGATGATACCAGGAGGGTGAGGTAATGTGAGCAGACACTGGTCAGCAGCCCACGGTCCCACCAGAGTCATTACCACTGACAGTAAAACTGAACAAAGTGAATGTGATTGGACAGGCACGATGTTCTGTCCTATGGCAGCTACAGACAGCAACAGACACATTTCTCAAGTGAACTGTCTGACTTGTATATTGTATAAGTGACAATTACATGTGCTGGATGAATGAATCAGTTATTTCTACTGCCAGATGCTCTTTAAATACATGTTTCATGATGTCTGTCTGGACTCTTGTTCCTTTACACCTAACAAGTGTGTGTGTGTTGCTCTGAACTGCCCGCCAACATGCATCCCACAGTCTGTACATGGTCACAATGTGGGGTGCTAATAAAGTTTTACGAGCTGCTTTAATCTGGCCATCTCGCCAATCACAATACCCTGAAGTAACCACATCCATCCTTGAGGGCTTATTAGAGGGCTCCCCATCACACATAATTGACTGTTCAAAATGAACCATATGAAGAAGACAGAACACATACACACATATATTCAGTGCAAAGGCCAGCAGGTGACTGTGAGCAGTGTGGGCGTGTTAATGGTGTGTTTGGTCTGGTGGAGTGACTCATTGACATTGTGTCCAACTCAGTATTGTCAAACAGAGCCTTTCTTCTACTTGAAAATAATCCCATATGTCGTTTGAATAAGCAGCTTCTTATGACCATAACGCTGTACATATAAAGAGATGGCTTCAAAAAAAGAACTGATACATCAATTGCCTACATGTAAGGGCTGTGTACAGAACTGACCTTCAATATATAATTGTATTTTATGCCTGATTAGTCCCATCCATAAGCAGGGACTTGGTCCCTGGTTAGACATGTTTTTTGGATAGATATGGGCAAACGAAAACGTCAGTGTGGCTTTTGTTGTGTTGGTTGTTAATTTATTGTCAATATTTTAGAGTAGATGTTTGCTAGTACAACAAGTATAGTTTTTGTCTGTCATAAATTCTGAATTAACAGAACTGCTAAGCACTGTGGAAATGACAAAAATCATATAATTATTTATTATAATTATTATTACCACAGTTAATTTTAAATCAAGCAATCAATTTGGAGTTTAACTAAGATATTGTGTTAACCTTTTAGTATTTACAGCCCTTTTTATACATAGTGCCATATTTTGTGAGGTTCAGAAATAATTGGACAATTGACTGATAAGCAGTTTCATAACCAGGTGAGGCTTGTTTTTCCTTATTACACTAAAGCGATAAGAGGTGTGGAGTTTATTCTAAGTGCTGAAGTTACACTTGGTCTCTGTTCGCTGCAACTCTGAATAAGAAGTTTAGAGAAATATATCTGCAAGTCAAGGCAATTAGAAATAAATCCACAGAAAGATCCAAACAGAAAAACAGTTTGTCACAAAAAAAAATCCGTTAATGGAAAACAACTTCCCAAAATTTAACCAAGTCAAGAATACTTTCAAGGAAGGAGGCATATCATTTTCAAAATCTACAATCAAGAGATAAACTGAAATACAGACGGAAACCACTGATTACACAAAGGCCAGATTAGACATTGCCAGAAAATATCTGATTTGCATTTTTTTTAAAAAGAAAAAATATCTTTTCAGATGAAATAAAGATGAACTTGTACTTGGGAAGAGAAAAGCATGGAGCACATGATCTGAAGCATACCATATAATCTGTCAAAAAATGATATAGCTGCTACCGCTATAAGCAGTGACATAATCAGTTAACACCAGTAGCCTGGTTCCTTTGGCATCCCCATCCCATAATTTTGCCTCCACCTCCACCAAAAAAATCTATTTGACTTTTATCAATTTTGTTTTACTGTAGAGCATAAATAAATAAAACTAATATGATGCAGTGCATATACATCAAACTTTAGTAAATGCCTCACCGGATGGACCCCTCTCAGTCATTTCTTCTTTTTGCCTCTGTTCATCTCCTCGTTAAAGTTACCCATATGTAGACACTTTTTATGACACGTATACCAAGTTGAACTATTTAAAATCCACCATAAAAGATTATAAAGCCACATGACATCAGTTTTGGATCAAGTACCTAAGTTGGTTGTTTGGAAAAATGTGGCCAAAAGGTCAACAGGTAGGAGTGGTATCACACGGAAGCAAATGTCTGTACAAATACTTGTAGTAAACATAGCTTCTGATTTAGTGCTCCTTTTTACTTTCAAAGTGCTTTACGGCACATTTGATCTCAAATACGTAAATATTATTTATGTTACTGGAGTAATTAATCTAATTACTTTTTACTTTAAGTCTTGAAAGACGTTACTCTGTGTAGGAGTTGATTTACTGACAGTGTAGGAAGTTTAAATGCATGTTGGCAGTTTTTAATTAGTCTGTGGGTGTACTGCCAGTGTGTGTTTGTGTGTGCTGCTAATTAAAAGTGTCCTGTTCGTGTGTGCTTTTGTCTCATATATAAGACCAACAGACAGCAGATGACAGACAGAGTAGAAGAGGCGAGGTGACACACTGAGGAGGTAACTAACTACTGATTATCTCACTTAGATCTGATCTGATATTGCTCACGGATAAAGGTGAAGATGGTGATGATGATTATATCACTGGGGCTTCTCTTTGTTGGACTTGGTATGACATCAGCTGCTGCTGGCCCAGGTATACATCAAGATTTACATTTAATCTGTTTTTCTACAATATCGTGCTGTGATGTCTAAAAGATGTCTAAACTTTTTGTTTATTGTCGGAGAATGCACTTACTAAAACAGTTAACATCCTCAGATCTCTAGTTATGTACCTAGCATGCCATGTTTATCTGTCTACAGTTTTCTAGCTATGTACCTAAAATATCAAATCACTCCACTGGCAATTCCTTGGATGCATCCTTTTTGATCTTCTAATATCCAGTAATGCATTTGTCCTGTTTTGCGCTGTATCATTTTGCATTTTACAAAGAGAAATCTTAAATAATGTCTCTACTATGCATAATATAAAAATGCTAATAAAGAATACTGAACCCAATAACTATAAAATAGATAGAAATTAAATTATGACTCAAGTCACATTTCTTCTGTCTTCAGGCAGCTGTGTGGGTCGATGCGGTGAGGTTTTCAACAGAGGCTGGCAGTGTAAGTGTGACTTCAGCTGCCTGCAACATAATGAGTGCTGCCAGGACTTTGAGGCTACATGCACCATCGGTGAGACAGATACAATAACAGCCTAAAAAAACAAAGCTTAAAAACATACAAGTCTACACATTTTACACGTCTTCTTTTTGTAGACGAGTATTAAGATACAACACAGATGAATAAAAACAGAAAAACTACTCGATGTGGAAGCAGTGAATCTATTATTGCTGTTTTCTCCAAAAGTTGAATCTGGACGTAGTGTTTTGTAGGAGAAACATTTCGTCACTCATCCAGTGACTTCTTCAGTCTCAGCTGACTGCAGGTTTCCCCAAATCTTATAAACAGTAAATTTGCATAGTGACTGAAACCAGCCCACTGAAGGAACAATGGACTGGGAGGTCAGTTACTTAATCATAATTGTGCAAATTCTCATGACCATTGATCAACAACCACTGACCAAAACCCACTGATCAAAGACCACTGATCAATGGCCATGAGCACCATTCACAGAGAGTTGGGGAATGGCTGCAATCACAGCATTGTAAGATGGCGAAAGATGTACCCTTATTGTTGTTGTGTTAGATTAACTCACTTACTTATCTTTAAGTTATCTGTTTCTGTAAGCTGTTTTGATTTTCTTTTTTTTTCTTTTTTTGTGTTTGCATGTTTCTTCCTGAAGCCCACAAATGCTTCAAGCTTGTTTTGGGCTCTATGGATCTTTTGTTTTTCCTGTTATGTTTCTTCTGTTTGCTGTATTAATTACTACAGAACACAACTATTTGTTTGGGTTTGTTTTATTTTGCGATATGTCCTCCTCTTTCTGTTTGTTTAGTAGCTATTTTCATGGAAACACAATGTTTCTAATTGTTTTGTTCTAGAGCTTTCTTCTGTTATACTTTACATTTTGGTTTGTTATTTGTGTTAAATTTTATAGCTGTTTAGAGGTTTCTTTCCAAAGAACTGTTCTTTTCACCTAGTTGCTTCAACTTTGATGATTTCTTTTGTCCCTCTATATATACTTATCAATATTTTTAAGCTAACTGTTTCTTTGATATGATGATATGTTTAGTTGGACAACAAGTCCAACACTGGCACCAGCCAAATACAAAATATAGTTATCTGTTATACTGGCAGTTTATTTATTCATTTTTAAACCAAAAGAATAATATAATGAAAAGCTATGCTGCATTTTGCTGTAACGTAACGGGCACTAAGCATCTGTCCAGCTGCTATGTTTGACCTAAATGCACAAACAGTGATGGATTTTTTGTGTGCAGTGTTCTATTATATATTACTCCCTTATTATCGAAGTGAAACGTTCTTAAAAGAATGAGTGACAGAAAATAGGATATTTTATATGACTTCAAACGGTTGAAAAGTTTACTGGTTGGAAGACAAGTGCATGATTGTCTGAAAGTAAAACACGAGATGCTAATTTTTCAGTGGTGTGTCTTTTTCTTATCTTATTAAATCCCATGGCAGATAGAATATCACGGCTTTAAATTTCAAGCCAGTCGAAGCAATGTGCTGTCCTGTGATGACATGCTCCTCTCTGTCTGTGTTTTCAGCACAGTCATGTCAGGGTCGCTGTGGTGAGGTCTTCCGACGTGGTAAGCTGTGCGAATGTGATCCACTGTGTGTCCTCTACAACACCTGTTGCCATGACTACAAATTGAACTGCAGTAAGTATCCACAGTCACGGCTGCAACTGCATAGACTGTCCCATTTCCCAACTCATCTGAACTTGTAGGCCTTTAAGGACAAATGTTATTTCACATGCGATTTGAGCAGATGCTGCATCCTAGATGCATGAAAGAGCGTTTCCGCAGGTCCTTCCTCCCTGCAGCTGTCAGACTGCACAATCAGAACTGCTCCCAACAATCATAGATGTTGCAATCAACCGATTCGCACTACAACCTGTGTTTGCCTCTTATCTGTAGTTAATTTTATTTAATTTAATAACGGTACAGTACTCTGTTTATAGTAACCATTGTCCTTAATGTAAATATGTAAGAAAGAAAAATTGTGTATGTTTCTGTTCTGTGTACTGTTTGTTTGTAATGTGTCTTTCTGGCTGCTGTTAAAACCAAATTTCCCCTTGTGGGACAAAGAAAGGATTATTCTATTCTATTCTAATTTCTAGTTTTTCATTTTTCTCTGTGTTGACAGATGCCACAGTGCCACTCTCACCAGAGTCATATCGCGGCAGGTTCCAGTCTCTAAGGGCCACAGCTTCAGGTATGCCTGTAGTCAGTTACTACAGACATCAATACAAGAATGTTCCTAATGCTTTCATTACAGTTCCTGGTATCTTATTTTAAGCCTTTCTGCTCTGTTTTATCGACCTCAGGAAAGCGGAAATCCCAGAGGAACAGGAAATCCTCCAATAGTGAGAGTGAGGAATATTTCACAGGTGAATGCAGTTCAAATATTACTGAATATTTGCCAGTACTGAATCTGGGAACAGCCCTTACTCTGTCCAAAACTGACAAAGCACAAGCAATGCTAAATCCTTCCATCATTAGCTTCCTTTAAAAGAGTAACAAAAATGAATAATAATGCTGCATTACCGTTGTTGTATGTAGGAAGAGGCCGCTGCCCAGAGCACCTTGGGGCTCAGTGTCAGGGTTCTTCAGGCCTCCTCAACTCACTGACTGTTGGCTTATCTGACTCCACCCCTTCTGCTGTATCAGCCAATCAGCTACAACATGGTTTGGACTACTTTCTTTCTTTCGTAACTTAGTTTTCTTAAATGAGCAAAATGCAGGTTTGATTAATGGTCATTAAAGGTAATGTCTCTCATTCCTCCTGTAGGTGTGAGTAGCATGCCTGTTGGCCTGCTGCCTGGGATAGTCCCTTCCTCTCACAGCAGAGCTCCATACTCACCAGCACCAAGCTCATCTCTGCCCATCAATAATGCTCCGTCTCTGGGCATTGGTGCTCCAGTGAGCCCCCTGGCTCATGGAGCTGTTGGCAGTAAACTGGATGCCCAGCTTGTGTTATCCCCTGGGGGAGCTGCTTCATCTATGCTTAGTCAAGGTTTATTTAACAGAAATTATTTCATAATTGTAGATGAACCAAGATTTTTGCAACTTGTTTTAGGTTCATTAAAACAAGTTGTTCAAAAACAATTCCCAACATACTACAGTACACAGCAATGCCGTTCTTTGTGCTCATAGGCCTTGGTGTTCCAGCAGGTTCCAGACCCAGCACTCTTCAAGATGTATTACAGGGCTTGGGGCATGGAGGATCTGAAGGACGAGGATCTGAAGGACCAGGAACAGGTAAGCAGCTGAAGGTGCCCTGTGGTTGTGGGTGTGTTTAATAAGCTTCTTCTAAATTACATAAAAATGTATGTGTGCGTGCAGGGGTCTTTGCTGATGTCGACCTATGCAGCCATTCTCCCATCAATGGACTGACAGCGCTCATTAACGGGACCATTCTGGTATTTAAAGGTGAGTGCTGTGACTGTCAAATTATGGCTAGGCGTGAGGGGGTTAGGGTTAATATGCTCTGTAGCTGTGCTGGGCAAACTATATCCTCTGCCAATATATGCTGTGAAGTTTAGTGACTGCAGGTTGTTGCAAGCATGCAACAGTTTTTTCATTTGGATTAATGTTAGCATATTAGCTATAGACTGCCCATGTATATATCATACATTATGATGTTATCAATTCATTTATAGGTTCTGCATTTTGAAGCATCAGCATTAGCATTTTTAGCCATGTTGCTCTTTGGAGCAAGAAATGACCGTTCTTAGAAGAGAAGGCAGAGTGTTTGCAAGTTGGTTAGCAGGCTAAATCAAATAACTGTGTGTGTGTGTGTGTGTGTATACAGTTATACATCTGTGTTTGTGTGAGCTAATTAGTGCCAAGTAACAGACTGATAACATATCTATACTATTTTCTGAGAAATTCAATTTAACTTTCTCCAAAAGGCACAAACACAGCAAACAGCAGCCTAGTAGACAGGTAGTGACTACAGCTGACTATGTTGACACAGCTATCAATCAAAGCAGCCACACCTCCAACTTTAACTCTTAGCAAAATCCAGATTCTTAAACAAACAAATAAAAAGATGTACTAGGTTGTACACCTGCTTTGTAATGCTTTAAAGTTTGGTGTTTTAATACAAAGTGATTGAGCAGAGTGATTTACTTTGAGAGTTGGTCTCAAGTGGCCAGAATTTTATTTATTTTGATAATTACAGGTTGGCACTTGGACAGTGATATTATGCAATGTGATTTACAGGTTATGTGATATGCCTGATATGTGTATGTATGTTTGTGTGTGTTGCAGGCGAGTTATTCTGGTCCGTTGATCCCATCAGCCGCTCTGTGGGTCAGCCACAAAGTATCACAGACACTTTGGGCATCTCATCTCCCATCGACACCATCTTCACACGTGCCAACTGCCAAGGAAACACCTACATTATCAAGGTATAGATATCACTAGAATCCATCACAGTATCACAACTAAAGCTAAGGGCAGCTTTAGTCTAAAGTGCGTGTTGTGATACCACAGCGTCAGCAACAGCACTGAGAACACAGCATAGTCATCAAACAACAAAGCATTGATCATTGTGTGAAATGAGGAGGCCGAGTGTAAGTGGGTTGCAAAGCAGCTTGTATAGGCACACTAACTTTGAGCAGACTAAAACTGCTTAATCAAAGCACTCCATACGAGATTAGATGTGTAGAATATCATCTGAGCCAGACCACCTTTGTGGATAATCTATAAGCATCATCCTGGACGCTTTCATTAAAGTTTTGAGGTTTAAAAGTCAGAATCTGACGTTTTAAACTAAATACAACAGTTGCTTACCACATTGAAAGGGGATAGTTTTCAGTACTGGATTACTGTACCATGACCTTTTACAGCAACTAGCTATATGAATACAACAAGGGGGAATCATAGTGGAAGAGCAGTCCTAGAAGCACCCTCTGTGCTGATGGATGTTGGATGTATTAATCACTCTTTGTCTCCAGGGGGACCAGTACTGGCGTTTAGATGGGAACATGGTGATGGAGCCGGGTTACCCCAAACCTCTGGTCTCAGAATTCCCTGGTTTGACAGGACACATCAGTGCTGCACTGGCAGTGCCGGCCACCAGGAGCAAACCAGAAACTGTGTACTTCTTTAAGAATGGTGAGGAACAAAGACAGACCCAAAATAACTCCACTGTCATGGTGCCAATGCTAGTGCCCAATTTAACAGTTTTCACACACTGTAAGTGCCACCCCCCACATACCACAAAATTGATGGTCCCCAGAGATGAAGCCAGTGACATCATTGGTTATGGCAGGGGCTACAGTAACAGTGTCATTATTTTATTTTATTTATTTATGGCAGATTCAACCTTGCACTTAGATTAAATATAAACACAATTAAACAGTATATAAAAGCCTATATAAAACTGAACAAAACATACAGGTAGAATGAATCAATAGTAATGAGATCTCTGTATTTGTCCACTAGGAGAAATTTTGCAGAGCTTCACATTCCCACCAGACAGCATTCCTTCCTGCAGCAAGAAACCAAGAAATTCCATGAATACTGGTTTGTAGCTCAACAAATTATTTAAATTCTGTTCCTTTTAGCTTTAAAGAGCTGGTAACCATATTGGACTAAGTGGTCCTGTGCTTTTTAATACCATGCTATTTTTTATTTCTGACATTCAGGAGTTCTTCTGGGTGGAGAGATCAACATCAAAGTGTCTCTGAAGGGATTTCCCACCCCCATCACCTCGGCTCTGTCCATGACCAGCCCTCAGGGGAGCGGCAGATACCATCACTACGTCTTCTCTGGACGTAAGAACAATCAGAGCATTTTGTTTATACACATTAAGTTTTAATAGCGGTAGAGATTACACATCGTCTCATCTTTGTTGGTTCAGTCCATAGCCTGTATATAAAAGGTGTACCTGGCCACCACGAAATCATCCAGTGAATAAGATGTAGTGCTAACAACATGCCAAAAGTTTGGGGGACCATTATTTCTCCTTGTGTGAATCTTTTCTAAAACACGGTTTGTCCTTCCCCTCCTTAAAAGCAGGACATTACAACTGTGTCCACAGTGAATGACCACTATTGATCAGAGGTGGCCTACTACACCAGCTATCAACTACCTGCAGTCTTAAGATCCCTACCCAGACATTTTAAGCCTCCACCACATGGAACCTTAATGATGGCAGGATAAGGTCTCAAAAAGAACCTTGGCATCTTAATGGACTTTCAATGAATTCATTTATAGTTTTGTAGCCACAGTTTTATCTTTAGGCAAAAAGACCCGGTCGTTGTTAAAACAAAAATGTAACTAGAGCAACAGCCTTGGAGGAACATCACCATGACACTGTGATAAGCAGTATAAGTTCATATGTTAATTTTGTATTCATTGTCTCCTCTACTGCCCCAATGTAGGCAGATATAGCCATAAATACTGCATCAGCAAAGTAACTAAACTCACACCTGTTCTGTCATCTCTGCAGCTCTCTTCTTCAGCATCCAGATTTCAGGCGACCTGCCAGTGCTGACCAAGCCTGATCCATCTGCATCCTTTGCACCTTTGCCCATCCTCAGCCAAACTACTGTGGCAACCAGTTCTGCAAACATGGCTGGCCAGAACACGGTCCTTCCCCAGCCAGCCAACTCTATCAGAGTTTGGCTGCGCTGTCCTTAGGAAAGTCCTGCAGGAGACCTGTTGTGTTTTCTTTGTTAACGCGCAAAAAAAAGGCTCATAATAAATAAGTCTGCTGCTGATTTTCCTCATACATTAATATGACATTTATAATATCTGGAAGGGTCAAATAAATACCATCACAAAAGTCTACACATGTTAACCATATGAGTGTATATCCAGCACAACACCACATATTCTATGGTGGGTTTAAGTTATTCTACCCATCATGAACTGCAACATAACCCTTAAGGATTATCTAAAGCCAGCCCACAGTTTGAGGAAAAAGAAGTGTAATTCACAGCTATTTTCATTAAAAGTGGATTCCAGTGCTTGTCTCCACTGATACAAAACAAAAGCAAAACACGTGGAGCAATTTTATTATTTGATCAATTCAAAAGAAATATTTCTGGCATTGTTTAGATAATTGATCTTTGTGTCCTCCACTACATCCTTCCAAAATATTCTTCATTTTATAAATAAAAAGCATCCCATGACACTGCTGCTCCTCATATTTCCACTTTATTATTAAAACACATGTATAAACAACCAAAGATCAGAGGACAAAAAAAGAAATAAACTAACAAAATAACAGAATCAGAAGTCACACACCTGTCAGATCTCTCCAGTAATAGTCAGATTTTACGTGGACCTAAAATGTATTGACATTAAATTTGTTGCCCTGTTTATGTTTTACTGAATAAGATGATTAAGTCTTCACTGGTGATATCTTCATTAGGAGATTCCTCCTCTTCCCAGAGATCCTCCCCTCCCTTCTCGAGAGAACGTTCCTGAAATATTAGCGAAAGACGACAAAAAAAAAATGTGTGAGGCGATCAGTGAGATACCATATTGTCACTCTTCTTGTTCCCTGAGTGTAATGCTGCTTAATGCACTTCAATAAACTGCTTTATCATTTAAAACTACAGGACTTGAGTCAGTTCTGTGAGTGTACACTATATTCTCACAGGCAGAGGTTAACAACCATCCCAGAAGGATAGTCCTTTAAAGCTTTGACACCTTACCTCTGCGGCTGATTAGTCTCACTCCTCGAGGTCCTGTGCTTGACAGGCTGCTCACCAGAGGCTGACTGGCCACTGTGTGACGCTGCGTCATATTGCTTGTGTCTGTAATCAAAGAAGGGAAATAAAAAACATCACACAAGAGTTTGTGCACATATGAAAGCTTTAGCTGACGAGTTCAGTTTAGCAAAAATGTTGCTTGCTTTGCTTTTCAATGTCTTTCATTAGCAAAATAATGGAATTCCCTTTCAGACTAATGAGCTAATATATTAAACATTTAATTAAATTGACAGGAGAAAAAAAAAAGGACTGCTAATAAGTGTTGTTGGGCTTTAAAGGTTCTATAAGTCTGCACCATGGATTATATATGGACTAAGCATGGAAACAGACACAATGCACTGGGCTGAAAAATGAAGGCAGCACAAACTCAAAAAACTGCAGTTCCTCTGATTCGCTTTCGAAGCTTCAGGCTGGTCCTCATAGATTCCCAATGTTCAAATGTCCAATTTTACAGCATTAAAAGTACATTAATTGAGGACAGTTTTCACCTTTATAACAACTTTGCACAGGATATGGTTGCTTTGACATCTATCGGTCAGTAAACAGAATACATTACCAGGGTCTTGGCTGGTAGATGGCAGTGACGCATCATCGCTTTGCTGTCCTGCTGATTCCATGTCTGTCTGACTCTCCAGGGTAGACTCAATTCCAGGGCTGGAAACACATCCACAATCAGAGAAAACTTCCAGCGGTGTCAGGTTTAAAATAAAAGTCAACATTTCTCTCACAAATCTATTTTAACACCATGTGAAAAGCTTCTTTTTTAGATTTTTATGAGTCCAAAAAATAATTTGACAGTAAATCCTACATAAATTAAAACTGAAAACTTAAAAGCTCACCCCTCCACTTCCTGCTCCATGAACACCTCATCTCCATCATCTGTAGCAGCAGCCATTCCAGTAGAGGCAGTTACCATGGGAACTGACTGGGACGCCATGTTGTCACTGCTGTCTGAGGGCAGGGATTCAGTGAAGACTGTCACTGATGAAACAGAGACACAGGGAATACTGAGCTTTTGAGCCCAAGAGCTGGACAGCGCCGACTGAGGAAATCTCGTCTTCGGGGTTTGTGCGTTTTTCTCACCTGGTGCAGCCACTTGTAAAGGTGTGGTGGGGACACTCCTTCCTCCTCCATCTTCATCATGAGCAGCCAGAAACAGAGGAGATTCATACATACCGAGACCTACATACAGATTTAGTTTGACACAAAAAAATGAATGTTTTAACTCGAGTATCAGACTGCATGCACAAGTTACAATTAAGCGTTTGTGCAGTACCTCCTTGAGAAGCCAGCTGTCCCAGGTCAGAGTGTGAGGCTGAAGTCTGTGGCAGCAGATCTTCAGGGGGTCCAAACCTGAATCTGGTGGACAGACCTGCTACCTGAGGTGAGCTGGAGATCAAAAACATCTGCTTAAACACGTGTTAAAATGCATCTTTTCAGCAGCCCACATTTGTAGTCTCCTTTGCCTTCTCTGCATGTTTCACTCAAGAACACATGTTTCATCTGCAGCTTCCTTCTAGAATTAGTTGCTGCAATTAGAGAAAGAAAAAAAATCCCCTACAAAAGTGCTAAAATTGGCCACTTGAATGCTTTTCTAAAAGGAAATCACTTCTCTCTGCCATTTTAAACTAGTTTTGTACCAGGTTGCAGTTTTCCCCTCTAAAAGGTTAAATTGCTTTTAACTTATTTACCTGGTTGCTGGAAATACGGACACTGTAACTGACAGGTTTCTCTACACAGGGAGCAGCAGACCACTGTCTGTTCTGTCTCCATGAAAATCTCACCTCAAAAATCCCTGAGTTAATAAATCTATAATGAGTCTGAGATCTTATCATATCTAGAAACAGTCCAGTTAAGACACAAAATAACGGGGTGAAGGAAAGTTAAAGTGAAGCAGTGGAGTAAAGTATGAGAATCTTTAGTGCGTGATGGACTATCACACTGACTCATACCTTAAAAACAGTAGATTGTGTGAAGTTGGTCTTTTGCCCTAAACTAGATTATTCTTTATTTTGCTTTCAGAAAACATAGGGATCCTAATATTGTGTCCATTGAATTAAAATATGAGGCCTAAACAACAGGTTCTGGGAACCAGCCTTGAATCAATTTATATTTGTCCCATCTCCTCTCAAAGATCAACTTATTGACCAAACTCTAGACCACTTCTGACTCTATAAAGTAGTCCCTTTATGACTTGCACTTTGAGCTTCTCTGTCACAGTAGAGTATCATCCAGAGCTCAACTGAAATATTTTGAAATAGTTTCCTTACTTTAACATCTTGAGGCATCGGAGGCCGAACAACCTGAGCTTATTGTGTTCCAGCCCACAGTGCATTGAAAGCAATGCGAGTTTCTTCCATACAAACACAAAAGTCACCTTTCAACCACTATATTCACTAGATTTGCCTCTCTGAAACTTAATCCTCTTTAAAATAAATAAATAAATAAATAAATAAAGTTCCAGGATAATATACAGAATCTTATACAGCGATCTACAAACATCAGCCATGATGGAAGACATTATGAGCCAGGTGTGTGTGTGTGTGTGTGTGTGTGTGTGTGTGTGTGTGTGTCTCTCTCTTACTGTATAGCCTCAGCAAAACCATCAGTACGATGTGGAACAACCAGAGTGGGAGTACTGGGAACCATTCTGTCATCATCATCAAAGAAAGGCTGCTGACAACACACAGGCACATTTAGGCTAGCTGATCCACAGAAACTGAATAATATGGTCAAAGTTCACAACACACATCTCTTACCATACTGCCTATTCCAGGAGTCAGCTGAGGTCCACGTCCTGACGATGGTCTGCGCAGCTGAGAGGCCTGTCTCTGATTCACACACAGACACCATTACTGTCAGAGTGCTGCTTTCTTCTCCTCTTATATTTCCATGTAATGATTTTACCATTCACTATTGATCGGTATTATTAATCAGTCTTTGCTGATTGGCATTGTGATTTCAGGTGGCTTTATATAACACCAAATAACTGGACAGTATATGTATTAATTTGACTTACTTAAAACTCCCAGATGAATCTAAACAAAACGCTTTTGGCATCTTTCTACTAAACTCTTAATTAAACTGCATCACTCATTTAGCCGATGTGGATAACAAACCTGCCTCCTGTTCATGATAAGTAAGCGCACTCCAAATCCAAAACATATATTTTGAAGGGAACAACAATAAAAAAAAGAAATGTCTGTTAGGTTATCACCTGTGTTTGTGGGGGACCCAGCTCAGGAGCAGGAGGCTGGATGTAGAGGCGAGGTGGGAGTGGGTGTGGGGGCCTTCGTGTGTGTGGCATCCGGGGTGTGAGGGAGGATGAGGAAGGTGAGGGGGCAGAGGTTGGAGGAAGGTGTAAAGGGTCTCTAGGGTGGTCGGACTCTGATGGGGCATCACCGCTGCCTTCACCTGGAAGAGATGAGTGTCAGGTTGCGATTTTGAGAGAAGCATGCATGAAATGAGATGTCTGTGAAGGTTCTCAGTCATCCAGGTCATCGTAGTCAAAGGAGCTTGCAAAGAAAAGCGTCTGGACTTCTTTAAGTTGCTTGAAGACGTTTCACCTCTCATCCGAGAAGCTTCTTCAGTTCTAAGGTCAAATGGTGGCGAGTCCCAGATATAAACCTAGTGGGAGTATCCCCCCACAGAGGGACAAAAGGACCCCCTGATGATCCTCTAATCGCCTGAGCCAAGGTGTGAAACTGGGCGTGGGTCCCAATCAGCCAGAGTTTCGGGTGTGTTCATTGTGAAACCTGGCCCCACCTTGTCATGCGAATTCCTGAGGTCAGATGGCCCAGGATGTGAGTGGGCATTAAGGCGTCTGGGGAGGGAACTCAAAACTGGATTATAGATGGCAGAGAGTTGGTGTCGTAAACCCCCGCCTCTGTTCAAAGATGGTCGCTCACAGTGGACATAGAT